CACCCCCCCCCCCCACACACACATACACCTCCAGTGACTAATCCTTTTAAGCATCTTTGGATGCTTTGGAGAAATGACTTTAGAGAAGTGACTGTTCAAGTCCTTTGCTTATTTGTTACTGAATTTGTCTTTTGTTGTTAAGTTGTAAGAATTTTTTATATATTTTGTATCCTAGACATGATTTTCAAATATTTTCTCCTATTCTCTTTGCCTTTTCACTTTCTTGATAGTGTCCTTTGATGCAAAAAAGTCTTTAATTTTGATGAAGTCTAATTTCCCTATATTTCCTTTTGTTGCTCATGCTTTTGGTATCTGAGAACCCAAGCTCATGAATATTTTCCGTATGTTTTCTTCTAAGAGTTTTATAGCTTTAGCTCTTATATTTGTATCAATGATCCATTTGTAGTTACTTTTTTGTACATGTACTTTATGTACATGGTGTGAGGTAGGGGTCCATCTCTGTTCTTTTGCATGTGGATACCCAGTTGTCCTAGCGCCATTTGTTGAAGAGACTCTTTGCTGGTCAAATGACCACAGACTTAAAGATTTTATGTGAATTCTCAATTCTATTCCACTAGTCTATTGTATCACTCTTTACATTTGAAATAATTATTATTGTTTTCCCTTAAGAGTGAAAGTTCAGAAAAGAAGTAAATTCAGAGAGAGGATTATTCTTTCAGGAGATTTGGCTGTGATAAAAAAGGAGAAAGACAGGGTATAGCCAGAGGGGAATACCTAGAAGGTATTTTGAGACAATTAACATTTGCCTTGCACCTCTCACATGCCACACACTACACCAGATTATTTGCATACAATATTTCATTTAATGTGCATAATCCTTAAAGATTTTCTCCAATTCATGAACAAGGAAACTAAAATGCAGTCATGTTAATTTAACACCCTTGCCTGTGGTCACATACCCTGCTGAGAGCCAAAACCGCACCCCAGATCTGTTGGACTTCATATGCCATATTTTTCCCACTCTATAGTTTTGTATCCAGTTTTGGACATGAGTTTTAAGTGCCCTTCTACCTACAGGGAGATACCTAGTTGTCATTCAAAAATATAGCTCTGAAGTTCAGAAAAGGGCTGGAGTTAGAGATTAAAGTTTAAAAATAATCAGCACATAAGAGTATGTAAGCCATGGTAGTGGAAGGGATCACCAAAGAAAATATGAAAAAGCCGAGGTCTAGACCTCCTATGGATCCCAGGGCACACCAACATTCAACAGTTCAACAGAGAAGAGAAGAGAAGGAGATCGTATCTAGTTCACTAGACAGCACACGCCAAAAGGGCAAGTACCAAGTCTATCTTGTTTTTTCCTGTACCTCCAGCATCTAACATGGCGCTACACAATGGATGCTCGATAAATATTTGTTGAATGCATAATTGGTTGGCACTGAAGTTAAAGAGGAAGAATGTTTACAGAAGGAGACTATTCAAGAATAGCAAATGCTTTTGAGCAGTCAATGGAAGATAAGGTTTGAAAAGTAACCACTTTGATGAGGCAACAAGAAAGTCAACAGTGAGTCAATAAAAAGAACATTAAGTGGATTAAGTGAGTAAAAGTCCAGCTGATGGCTTGAGAGTGAATAGGAAGAAAGGATGGAAAAAGAACAAGTGTAGACTGTTCTTTCAAGGTTTGATGTAGGGGAATAAAAGAAGAATGTCAGTAGCTAGAGGGCTAGTGAGTTACACACTCACTGTATTTTCCGAGAAGAGACTATTTAGCTTATTTGTGAATACAGAAATTAGATTAATGCCCTGGTTTACGAGCAGCTGGGGATTTATTTGCAGGGGATAAGTCCTGCATATACACAAAAGGGTTTTTCCAGGAAGGGAGGAATTTTTTAGACTTAAAAAAAATTTTTCAAATATTTAGACTTGTCTACATTGGGAGTTTATATTAGCCTAACGAAAGTACTGAAGAGGATAACAATAAAATAAAAAGTCTCTCAAGAAAACAGAAATGACTGTTTCAAAACAATGCTAGAAAAAGAAATTGAAACAGAAATTGAAGAGAAAAGAAGTTAGTACCAAGTAATCTTGGTACTAATATAATTAGATATCTGGAGGCTTAGATGTTATTTTATTTACTCTACAAAAAATATTTTACCTTTCATATTTTTGCAAATATCTTTAAGTGTTTTACTTTAGGTGTTGTTTATTCATCTGGTTTTCAAAACATATATGTGTGTGTGTGTGTGTGTGTGTGTGTGTGTGTGTGTGTGTAATATACAAAACTGGTTATGGTCAGCTTTTCACTATTTGGTTTTTATAGATTATTATTTACCTTTATATTTGGCCTGAATACACTATAAAAGATAATAAAAGGTGAGCTTTATTAAACCAAAAGGTAAGATACCCGATAAAAGAGAAATTACCAGGCAGGTTTGATTACCAACATGATTGAATGAACGGGGAAAGAAATGTTAACAACAGGGCTTAGAGCAGGTTAAATTACTTCTTAGGCAGGGCCACTAGATGGCGCAAATCCTTTGTGGGACTTAAACTGAAAGACCAGAGGACCTAGTGTTAAGGAAAATCTCCAAAGAAATTAAACATCTTGCCTCCAGAAGAACTGGAAGTTTCCTATGCTATTTGAGGCTGTGTGTTTTTGTTGTTTTACGTTTTTCTTTGTTCAATGTAAATGTTTTGATCGTGTATATTTTCCAAAGAGATTTTAGCCTCTTGCACGGGCAGCATCTTGCACGTGGCTAAATGGTACTTGGGGTGATGGTAGTGATGATAGTGATGATGACGGTATGTGTCTCCAGAGTTCTAGAAGTAACTCGATTCAACTGTATTGCTATAGCAACAACATAAGAGTGAAGTACTACAAGAAAAATTCTGTTTTCAATATGTTAGTAGCAAGAAAAATACTAAATTTCTGATCTAATATGCTACGAGTCCTTACTGAACAATAAGGTGTACTTACTTGAATTAGGGGGCCAGGATTCCCGGTATTCACTACCTGCTTGAGTTCTTGGTAACTTGCCCCGAACCTGAGGAGCCACACAAAAATCCTAAAATGATCAGCAGGAGAATTTATCCAAGAAATTTAAATCATAAAAGTACATCTAAAATATATACTTTCCTACCACATCTTCCACAGTATACCAAATTAGACACATTTAGCCTAATATTAATGATGTACATTTGTAACAGGCTTTCTAGTTTCCAGTGCATTTTCCCACATATTTCCACATCCAGTGCTGAGCTCATTCAGGGGAAAAGGGGAAGGGGAATAAGCAGTAAAGAGAGACCCTGTGGGGTCAAGAACCACCATTCCTTAGACACTTAGGCAATTTCTAGGAGCAAGAGTAATCATGAACTCCCTTCCTGGAGAGCCACACCATGACGAAGAGTCCACTCCACCGGCAGGAAAACCAAGAAAAAAGCAGCCACCAACTCTGACAGGATCAGCGTCTTCAGCCCTGCCTTTATCTCAATTAAACCTGATGAAACTGAGTTCTGTGGGAGCCTGCCTAAGAGAAACACCACAGAAAGAGGATTACCCTTCTGTCTTGTTTCTTCTGGCTCTCCATGGCATGCAGGCGCTCCATAAGGCTGGAGATGCCCTGTTCCAAGCTGTCAATGGTATGGTGCTGAGGATCGTGGCCACTGAAGCTATTGCGCAGGCTTCGGAGGGCATCTCGAACCAGCTGCAGATCGCTGGTCTGTGGGCAGAAAGGAGGTCACACTGACGTGGTGCAGTGCCGTATTCTTAACCGTGTCCCAGCCGCCGGGCTTAGGACGGTAGAGGAGAGAGGCTTCCAGGATAGATCTTTTATTTTCGAGGGAGGAGGTGTGAATTTAAGAAATGTTCCTCCACAGAAGTTTGCCCACTAATTCTTAATTAGGGCTTCACACCTTCACACACCCAACAGATGCAAGACTTAGGGAACTGGGGTACCAAAGGCCTAGTGCGCTGGCAATGGCCAGGCTACTCTTGTGGTTTTAGCTGGAAGTGGAGGTCTGCACTCAAATCCTAAGAACCTACCCCTTTGTGAGTGACGGAAGCAGCTCCTTTTCCTGCCGCTGGAAGGAAAAAACCATTGCTTTGAGAGTTGTGTCTGTTGTAGCTGGTCACCTATAGCAGCAAGAAGACACGATGCTTGCTATAAGGGACACTGCAAACCAGGATGCCCTGTCTTATACTGATTTACAGTGATCACTTCCTGACAGTGTATCGTGGTATATTTGTTCATGTCTCTCTCCGAATGTAAACCTGGGATGGGCGCAAAGACGTTTTCCCCCTTTTGTTCACTGCTGTAACCCCAGTACTTGACACTTCGTAGGCAGTGCTGAATGAACAATGAGCAAAATGGTAACCTCATCCCGGAGGGCCCCAAGCTAGCCTCAGCCTGGCCACCGGAAGGCCTGAGAATGGGGCTCCAGCACCTCCAGACTTCACTTTAGTGATTAAAAAAAAGAAGAACAGTGACTAATATTTTTTGAGCCTGACTTTGTGCCAGGTGGATCTATCAGGACTATCCTTTTTCCAGATGAATCTTATTCCTAAGGCTCAGAAGCGAAGCAAAGCAAGGTCACACAACGGTAAAAAGAGTGTAAAGCTGGAATTTGAAACCAGATTTTCTTAGTCTGAAACCAGCACTCTTTTTATTTGCTTTAAGTTTTGTTTATTTAAGTAAACTGTACATCCAACATGGGGCCCGAACTCTCGACCCCGAGATCAAGAGTCGCATACCCTTCCGACTGAGCCAGCCAGGTGCCTCTGGAACCTGCCACTCTTAACCCTCTCACCAGACAAACAGCCTCCTAACAAACCAACCTGCAGCCTTGGTTTCAGCCCTGAGTCAGAAAGAGTATCTCCCTCTTTGCCCTTGCAGATGCAGGAGGGGGGACCCTGAGCCGGGGGTTACCTCGTCTGCCTCTCTTTTCATACAGTGAGCCAAAAGGACGTCTTTGTGTTCTAGCTCCCGCTCTAGATCCACCTGCAAATCAGAAACTAAATCAGAAAAGGATTTTCTCAGGCAGAAGGGGAAGGAAGCCAGAGGCTGACTGTGTCCCCACCTGCTGGTAACTGGCCTCAGAGAGTTTCCGGAGTGCGTCTTCCAACTTAGCCTGGTGCTGCTGAAGGAGGCGCTCCTTCTGCCCCAGCTCTTTCTGCAATAGAGACAGAGCTTGCAGATGTATGGCAAAGCCAAGGATGCCCAACAGTTCACTGTTGGCCACGCAAGTTCACTTGAGCAAAGTCGAGCTGCAGGGGGAGGAGTCTTTCCCCCCAAGCTACACAGAAGACATCGCACACCGTAGTAATCTTACCCAGTGCAAAGGCTTCTTGGAAAAGTAAGGAGGAAGGGAACTACCGTCTGTAGGAGGACCACTACGTGCCATCCGTGCTAGTTAGGCATAATGGTGAAGACTGAAGTTTGCAGACAACTAGCTCTGGACTCCTCTTAGACATGCTATCTATTCTTCAGGGTGACTGAATCAAAGGAACACAGAAGAAAATTTCCTTGCTATCTACTCTTCAGGGTGACTGAATCAAAGGAACACGGAAGATTTCCTTGCGAAAAAGCAACAATGAGAACACAGTACTTAAGAACTCTTTGAACAACAGCAACAGTAGGCTGTTCATAAAAGGTCTAATGGAAATCATTTCCAAACTCATAAACATTCTTACTTTATAGTCTCCCAAGAGCCGGTTCCTCTCATCCAGCTTCCTCTGCAGATCCACCTGCAAGAAGGAAAAGAATTAACTGGCACAGAGATATTGTCTACCAACCCCAGTAGGAAACCAGCTACTTAGTAACCAGAGTGGATGTTGGCAATTAGAGTATACAGCACAGAGAGGGCAAGGTTATGGTAAAAACACACAGCTGCTCTCCGTGTCTTGAGTGAGATAATCAAACTCTCAAACCACAATTTAGCCTCTCAGTGTCCTCAAAGTTGAAAGGCTCAAGACCAATGTAGTATGGGCTTTCAGCCAGGAACAGAGATGAGTCTGACAGGAAATAAAAATAATTGCAGACACTGAGGGCAGGCATCCCAGAAATAAGATAAGAGAGATTAATTAGGATGGCAGATGTAATAAGACTTCATGCAGTATCCGATTTTGCTACTGGGGCTCAGTGAGGTCAGAGTTCATTCATTTAATTTACATTCTGGTTGTGTAGCTCGTCTTTGTCCATATTTGCCCTCAGCAGTTCCTGTTTGAGCTGAAGAACAGATGTGTCCTGCTGAGTCAGCCTCTGCTGCAAGGCATCCTGGGGGAAAAGAGCACACTCACTATTACTGTGGTCCCAATTAGTCAGTCAGCCATTTGTCACTCTAAGCTTTAACCCCCTGACTGCACATCCAGCATTCATTCTGGAAAACTAGGAGACAGAAAGAGGGGTCTTGCTACAAGGAGATGAAGAGGAATTTTCTGTCCCCTCCCGGGATGCTAGCAACCACTGTCTCACCTAGCTGACGGAAACCTGATTTTTCCTCCACCCATTACTCACCCCTACCCGCCACGGCAATCCTGACAGCATGCTGTCCTAGAGAATCAGTCGCCTCTGGGATCAGATAGATCTAGATCCAAATTTCAAGACCACCACCTTCACGACAGTGACCATGGACAATGCCTTCTCCTTCCTTCCACCCTGGCTTTCAAATCCATTTCTTGGGCACATAACTACTAAGGAGCTCTTTACCTTCTTTGCCTTTCCCTAGAGGGCTGGGCCCTATTGCCGCCTCCTACCCTATTCATATGGAACCCCTGGAATCACTCCCACCTTGCCTTCCAGAGCCCTGCTCCCATTGCCTTCCAATTCCTAGTGTGGACTGGGATTGGGATTATATTTCCATGCTCAGAACTATCACTGGGACTGATGGTTTCTCTTCCCAGTGTCCTACAATCTTACCAGCTTTAGGGTGTCTTTCTCTCAACTTGGACCCTCTTGTTTCCTACCAAGCCTAAGAAAAGGTTGGTTGCACACACTTAAAAGGGTCAGCAAGAACACATTTCTCCAACCATCATGACTTCAAATGGAACTAATGGACTGCAGTGTATTTACCCTGACTTTTCTCTCTTTACAGACTGCAAAGAAATGGTGCAGGCTCTGGAGAATGTGAGAGCCCATTCTTTTTTCTTTTTTTTTAAATTAAAAAAAATTTTTTTTATTTTTGAGACAGACACACACACACACACACAGAGAGAGAGAGAGAGAGAGAGAGAGGGAGAGAGAGAGAGAGAGAGAGAGAAAGAGCTGGGGAGGGGCAGAGAGAGAGAGAGAGACAGAATCTGAAGCAGGCTCCAGGCTCTGAGCTGTCAGCACAGAGCCTGACGCGGAGCTTGAATCCACGAACCATGAGATCATGACCTGAGCCCAAGTTGGATGCTTAACCTACAGAGCCACCCAGGTGCCCCGTGAGAGCCCCTTAACTGTGCTGTCAGCCATGAAAGTACATGGCAAAGGTAGTCCCAGATGCCCCGGGCATCAGCAGTTCAGAGGAACATTTCCCAAAGTGTGCTCTATGGGATGTTAGTACATGCTGCAGGGGAGAAAAGGCACTTCTGTGGTTAAGAATTCCAAACTCTTGGGGCAGCTGGGTGGCTCAGTTGGTTAATCATCCAACTTCGGCTCAGGTCATGATCTCATGGTTTGTGAGTATGAGCCCTGCATTGGGCTCTGCACTGACAGTGCAGAGCCTGCTTGGGATTCTCTCTCTCCCTCTCTCTATCCCTCCCCCGCTTGTCTCTCTCTCTCTCTCTCCCAAAATAAATAAATAAACTTAAAAAAAAAAAGAATTCCAAACTCTTTTTACTCCAACCTTTTTATGACAGATTTTCTCAGGTCCTTTAATAGGCTGTTACTCACTGGGACTCTTCAAGCCTACAGGGCATTTCTCAAACTTATTTAAGCACAGAACACATTCTTCTGAAGTATCTCAAAGGACTAAGGCTACAAAACATACTCTGACAAATGCAGCTGAGTTGCACTCTAGTCCAGCCTATGGATGGGAGTGTAGGGACGAGGGGAAAAGCAGCAGCTTAAGAACATCCTTTTCTACTTCTAGGTGTTTCTTCAATAGGCACACTCCCACTGGGGTGAAACAACACCTATTCAAGACTGTTAGCTAGAGCACTGTTTGTATCACCAAAGACTGGAAATAACCTAAAAGACCAACAACAGGAACTGACTAAATTATCATATATACATATACTGGCATACTAAGTGGCCATGAAAGACTTAGGAAGGTCTTTACGTACTAAAACAGAATCATCTCCAAGATACGCTGCTAGATGGAAAAAGAGCAACGTTTCAAGCTGTATGTATGTATTGTATACTGTTATGGGGGGGGGGGTATATACATACGTATTTATTGATAACTGGTAAGTTACCTCCAGGAAAGAGAATTAGGTGACTGGGGCAGACAGGGCTGGAAGACAGACTTTTCAAGGATTAGCCTTTTATACCTTCCTCACTTGAAACCATGTCATAGGATTAACTGTTCAATGGGGTTCTGGGCAGCTTTAGTAGGTTAAATGTCCGACCTCGGCTTAGGTCATGATCTCACGGTTCGTGGTCAAGCCCCACACTGGGCTCTGTGCTGACAGCTCGGAGCCTGGAACCTGCTTCAGATTCTGTGTCTCCCTCCCTTTCTGCCCCTCCCCTGCTCACGCACCTCCCTGCTCGTGAATGTGCACTCTATCAAAAAATAAACATTAAAAAAATTTAAAATATAGAATTTACTATTCAAAAATGAAGTAAGTTAAATTTTTAAGAAGACAGTTTTCTTTAGAATGGAAGAAAACTGTAAAAACTGATTGTTTTTACATATAAAACTACCAGGGTGGCACAGTACCATGGGTCCTCACTACCAGAAATAAGCCTCAACAAAACAAAGGTATTTTCCTCAACATTTCACTTCCCATCCACAAAGCACTTGGCTTTACTAATACCCCACAGCCCGTTAAAGGCTCCAGCAAATGTATATAAGGCCATAGGACCCAACTACCCTCCTACTACCTACTCTCAGCAGTAGACAACTTTACCAGGTAGAGTTTATTTAAAGAGTGAAATGTCTTCCTTTTTACCTTTATCCCCTGTAAGTTTCTGGCTTCTTGTTTACATTTCAGCAGCTCCTTCTGCAAACCAAATATAGTTAGATCAGATGGTAGCGTCTGGGTTGCTTCAGAAGCATTACCTCATTCTGTCAGTAAGAACACAAAACTCAGATAACCAGTCCACAAAAAATTAAGCCTCTACTGAAGCAGAAAGCAGGTCTGCTCCAGTCAGTAGTAAAGGCTGACTCATAGAGACAAGAAGGAGACCTATTCCATTCTTCCCTGAGGTACCCAGGCTCAAATGCAGGTCAAGGAGAGTCCTCCAAGAAAGAAGACACCGTCCATTCCCATAGGCTCTCATTCCTACAGTTAGCACTCTTCACTGTCAGGCAAACTTCATCATAATAACCTAAATCCCCCTTACTGACATATACAATCATATCTTAACATGCCTGCCCCCAATGTCATTTGTTCAGCAAAGGGTCAGAGTGCTTCTGATTCCCCAAGTAGGCATTATTCTTTGTAAACTCAACAAAAACACATTTAGCCCAATGATGAAATACTAATTATCCCTCCCTTATAATAGATTAGATGTATGTACATAATTGTCGCTAGGAAAGAGATTTTAGGAGAGGAATACCCATAACTGAGACCCTACCCTCTTCTTTTCCTATTGCATCACATCAAGAGTTTGGAATTAACATATCTAAAATGGGGATTCGTAACATGTGCTCCACAGATGGGCTCCAAAGTTACTCTATTAAAAATTCAAGTCAGCAAGTATGTGTGTATGCACTCATACATATTCCTGGGGAGAGGGTTCATGGCTTTAACTCATATACCTAGAACACCAACAAATTAAAAACCCACTGAACTAAAAGCATTCTGGGAAGAAATCATTATAAAAAACCATACTGGACTATAGTTAATAATACTGTATGGTGTAGTTGAAAGTTGATTAAGAGAGTAAATGTTAAAAGTTCTCACTGAAAGAAGAAAATGTGTACCTGTGTGGTGATGGATGTTAACTGGACTTATACTGGTGATCGTTTCATAATATATACATATATCAAATTAATATGTTATACACTTGAATCTAATGTAATGTTGTATGTCAACTATAAAAAAAAAAGTCCGTACTAATATTAGATCCGTTTTTAGTTAAAAAAGAAAAATTATGGGGCACTTGGGTGGCTCAACTGGTTAAGCATCAGACTTTGGCTCAACTCATGATCTGAAGGTTTGTGAGTTCAAGCCTCACGTCGGGCTCTGAACAGACAGCACAGAGTCTGCTTGGGATTGTCAGTCACCCTCTCTCTCTGTCCCTCCACCCTCCACTCTCTCCCCCCCAAAATTTTTTTTTAAAAAAGAAAAAGTATGAAGCATTTAAAACATAAAAAGTAGAACCAATGACACAGATACCTATCATGATCACCAACACTGAAGAGACAGTACCTTTTTGCCATATTTAGGACATATCTGTCTCTTTCAATGAAAGACATAAAACAGACACAGCTGACGTCCCAAGTCTGCATCCCTTCCCCTATACCCATTACTGTTCCAACAGTGCTGTATAATATTCCCATAATTTTTTTCAAAGAGTAAAATGCACATGTTCTGACATACCTTTAGGTCCTGATTCTCCTCCATACTCTGATCCAGACGACTTTGGATTATAATCTGAATAGAAGGCAAAAAGAGATGACTATGTAACTATGTTGTGAAATTCAGAGGTCATTTATTCAACAGATATTTCCTGAGTACCTTTCCAGGGCTAGCCCAGTACTATGAACACAGAGGACAGGAAGCAGTCCCTCCCCCTCTAATGGAAGTATGTACACATGCAGTACAAGTAGTGACTACGGGTGAAGTTTACACACGTGTGTGTGTGTGTGTGTGTGTGTGTGTGTGTGTGTGTGTGTACTGGGCACAGGGCATCGGAGAAAAGGCAAAAGTATGACAAAATGAAGTTTTCCTTACAGGTAAGCTATGGCTGCTGTTTTGCAGAAAATGAGTTAGAGGAACACAGGAGAGGAATGAGGAAACCAACTGGAACACTGCTAGAATCCAGGATGGGAGCCTGAGTTAAGGTAGGGGCTGTGATAATGGAGAGAAGTAGACAGAAATATATAGAAAGTGAACTGACAGAACCTGGTGACTGACTAGGTACAGAAAGAAGGGCCAAAAGGATTCAAGGATGATATTGAGATGTCTGCTTTGGGTATCTGGGTGGGTGGATAATGATAGACAGAATCCAAAGGGGCAAGGAGTTTTGGTGGTGGGAAGAGAAAAGCTGTTTAATTTAGGACTCTGAACTGAAATGCTTATGGGACACAGAAGTGGAGATAATCAGCAGGTAGTTAGATGCTGCACATACAAATCCCCAACTCCGTAGAGAGCAGTGAGCCAGAGATAAATACTTGAGAAGCAACATCTGAGTCAAGCAGAAAGTGAGTGCAGCCATGGAGGCAGGTAACACTGCCCAGGTCGATGTCTAAGACAGAAGGCGGTCACCAGTGGAACTCTGAGGGGCACCAACATTTCAGGCATAGGCAGAGAAAGAGAAGCTTCAAAGGGAACCTGAATGTAAGCGCTGTGAGGGTAGGGTCTTAGGTCTGCTTTGAGATCACCATATCTCTAGCACCTCAAAACAGTAGCTGGCACTCAATAAATATTTGTGGACGAGGGATGGAGGAAAGATGGAACAAAGAGTAGTCGACAAACTTATGAGGAAAACCAGGAGAGCGGGAGTCAGGGAAGAGAGCATTTCAAGACGGTGTGGACAACAGAGTCAAAGGCTAAAAGCAAATAAAATACATAAAGCAGATTATCTGTGGTCCAGTCACAAGAGAAAGAGCTCACCAGTTGTTCCTCAGGATTGACTCCCGGTTCACAGAGGGCCAAGGGCCTGTCCTGTTCGTCTTCAGGTAAGGATCCATTGAGCAGTAAGGCCTGAATAACCACAAAAGTAGAAAGAAACAGGACTTGCATCAGATGAATGAGTGCAGGGTTGAGCTTGGTAAGCTTATCCCAAACTGAAATCACAACTGGGCTTCCTCTAGTCATCTCCTTGATAATTTTCGGTCCTTAGATACCTCCTATTGCTCATTTTGGAACTATGGAGAGTTCCTTTTGTCAGTCCCATGCTTAGGCCTCTTTCATCTCTCTGGATGCACCTGGATCCTCTGCTCCTTGGTCCTAGTAAATCCTCAAAAATCTAGAACTTCCCTCTCAGAAGTTACATTTCAAACCACAGCTGCTCCAACTGAACTCTACCAGCTGGAAAGTGAACTAAAAGTAGTGTTGAATTATCCCAGTTTGGAAAGTTTATTATAGGGGCACCTGGGTGGCTCAGTCAGTTAAGCATCCAACTCTTGATCTCCGCTCTGGTCAAGATCTCATGGTTCGTGAGTTTGGGCCCCACGTCGGGCTCTAAGCCGAGAGCACAGAACCTGCTTGGGATTCTGTCTCTCCCTCTCTTTCTGCCCCTCTCCACTTGTTTTCTCCCTCCCCGCCCTCTCTCTCAAAATAAATAATCAAACTTTAAAAAAAAAAAAAAGGAAAAGTTTATTATAATGAATTACTTAAAACACATTTAGGTATGTGACTCTTGATGTCAAGGTTGCGCGTTCAAGCCCCACACTGGGTATAGAGATTACTTGAAAAAAAAAATCTTAATAAAACATTTACAGCACTGACTTGGGTTTGTTTGATTTTTTTTTTTGTTTTAATAATTGTGCATTTTTACTCCCTAGGGCAACCTGTATAGAACAAAAATGAAATCATTTACAGAGAGATGTCCTCATTCATTTCCACTCCCCACACCAGGCTTTGTTTTCATTAGAATATGAAAGAAGGGCAGATTTACCCTAAAGCTAAAGGAACCTCAAACCCCAGGGCCCCCCCATATGCACTGCCCCTCCAAAACCCTATATTTAATATTGCACAGTTGAATTTGAATGACAAGAGTCTGAACTGCCTGGGTCCACTTATATGCAGATTTTTTTTTTATACATAGTACAGTACTGCAAATATATTTTCTCCACCTTGTGATTTTTTTAGAAGTTTTTATTTAAATTCTAGTTAGTTAACATACAGCATAACATTGGTTTCAGAAGTAGAATTTAAATTTTTTTTTTAATGTTTATTATTAAGAGAGAGAGAGAGAGACAGACAAAGCACAAGTGGGGCAGGGGCAGAGAGAGAGGGAGACACAGAATCCAAAGCAGGCTCCAGGCTCTGAGCTGTCAGCACAGAGCCCGATGCAGGGCTCGAACTCACGAACCGTGAGATCATGACCAGAGCCAAAGTCAGACGCCCAACTGACTGAGCCACCCAGGTGTCCCTGGTTTTAGGAGAATTTAATGATTCATCACTTACATACAACACCCAGTGCTCATTACAAGTGCCCTCTTTAATGCCCATCGCCTACCCACCTCCCCTCCATCAACCATATATGGTATCCATCAGTTAAGTCTCTTCTGGTTTGCCTACCTCTCTTTTCCCCCCTTTCCCTTATGTTCATCTGTTTTGTTTTTTAAATTCCACATTATGAGTGAAATCATATGGTATTTGTCTCTGCCTGACTTGTTTCATGTAGCATAATCTACTCTACTCCATCCACGTTGTGGATGGCAACATGAAGTGCATGTGGATGCAACATGAAGTGTTGCAAATGGCAACATTTCATTCTTTTTCTTTTGTTTTTATTTTTTTAAATTTTTTTTTTCAACGTTTATTTATTTTTGGGACAGAGAGAGACAGAGCATGAACGGGGGAGGGGCAGAGAGAGAGGGAGACACAGAATCGGAAACAGGCTCCAGGCTCTGAGCCATCAGCCCAGAGCCTGACACGGGGCTCGAACTCACGGACCGTGAGATCGTGACCTGGCTGAAGTCGGACGCTTAACCGACTGCGCCACCCAGGCGCCCCTTTCTTTTGTTTTTAATTAGACAAGGTTAAACCAAATGTGGACCATTTTCTTTTAGTTTTTTTTTTTTTTAATGTTTATTTATTTTTGAGAGAGAGAGACAAAGTGTGAGCAGGAGAGGGGCAGAGAGAGGGAGACACAGGATCCGAAGCAGGCTCCAGGCTCTGAATTGTCAGCACAAAGCCTGATGTGGGGCTCAAACTCACAAACCATGAGATCATTACCTGAGCCGAAGTCGGATGCTTACCTGACTGAGTCACCCAGATGCCCCAAGATTTCATTCTTTTTGATGGCTCAGTAATATTCCATTGTATGTGTGTATATACATTTATACATACCACATCTTCTTTATCTGTTCATCAGTCGATGGATATTTGGACTGTCATAATTTAGCTATTGTTGATAATGCTGCTATAAATGTTGGGGTGCATGTGTCCCTTCAAATCAGCACTTTTGTATCACTTGGGTAAATAAATACCTAGTAGTACACTTGCCGGGTCATAGGGTAATTCTATTTTCAACTTTTTCAGGAACCTCCATACTGTTTTCCAGAGTGGCTGCACCAGCTTGCATTCCCACCAACAATGTAAGAGGGTTCCCCTTCCTCTGCATCCTCGCCAACACCTGTTGTTTCCTGTGTTGCTAATTTTACCCATTCTGACAGGTATGAGGTGGTATCTCGTTGTGCTTTTAATTTGTATTTCCCTGATGATGAGTGATGGGGAGCATCTTTTCATGCATCTGTTGGCCACCTATGATGTATGTCTTCCTTGGAGAAATATCTATTCATGTCTTCCACCTGTTTCTTAACATGATTATTTGTTTTTTTCCTCATGATTTTCTTTTCTCTAACTTGCTTTATTATAAGAACACAGTGTATAATACAGATAACATTCAAAATATGTATTAACCAAATATTTCTTAGTAAAGCTTATGTGATGAGGGAGCCACAGGCAAGCTGAGGGCAAAGCGCAAGCTAAAGCCCCACAAAGACCCCACCCCCACCCCCCGCCCAGGTGGCACATGTGTGATATTCCTCAGGCACTCCTGGGTGCCCAAGAACAAAGGAAAGGAAAAACCAAATAACTGATAGAGATCACAGTCGTGTAGGACAGGAGTCTCCATCAGTTTATAAATGTCTTAGTAAAATTATAAGAAAAAGGCAATTGTGGGGCACCTGGGTGGCTCAGTTGGTTAAGTGTCCAACTTCGGCTCAGGTCATGATCTCACGATTCATGAGTTTGAGCCCCACATCACGCTCCATGCTAATAGCACGGAATCTGCTTGGGATTTTCTCTTTCTCTCTCTCCCCCTCTCTGCTCCTGTGCTCTTTCTCTCTCAAAATAAATAAACTTAAAAAAAAATTTTTTTAAAGGAAAAGGCAACCTTATCATTAGCCTAATGTCCAGAAACCTATAGACTCAGTTTCCTGGAGCCCCAACATTACCCATCCCTCCACAGTGATGTGGGGAACAAAGGCAAGAAGGGAATGGCAGGTAAAATTAAGTTTCCTTATAACCTGCAGCCCAGTGACAAATACTTGAGATAGGCTGAGTAGAACGTTTCTCCAGGAACTCCCTCCTGTCTTAATGTTAATGCCTCAGTAGAGGGAAAAACAACCTTAGCTTGACAATAGTTAGGCCTCCAGTATCTTAAGAGTCTTCTTAGGGAACTTGGATGGCTCAGTCAGTTAAGCGTCTGACTTAGGCTCAAGTCATGATCTCACGGTTCGTGAGTTCCAGCCCCGCATTGGGCTCTGTGCTGACAGCTCAGAGCCTGAAGCCTGCTTCAGATTTTGTGTCTCCCTCTCTCTTCGTCCTTCCCCTGCTTGTGCACGTGCTCTCTCTCTCTCTCTCTCTCTCTCTCTCTCTCTCTCTCTCTCCCTACAACGCGCACACGCACACACCCTTTTTCCTTTACCTCCCCAAACTCCAGTGTGTAATCAATCACTCCTCACAACCCCAGCGCAGCTCTTTCTGCCCAGGGGTTCTGTCCCCGTGCTTTAATAAAATCACCTTTTGCACCAAAGATGTTTCAAAAATTCTTGGCCATCAGCTCTGGACTCCCCCCTGCCCCACACTCCAAAAATGCATCATTATGATCAACAGTCAGCTATTAGTAATTACGTTTTAGGGGAGTCAAAAGTTACATGCATATTTGCGACTGTGCAGGGCATGGGTGCCCCTCCGCCGCACCCCTGAGTTGTTCAAAGAGAACTGTACTCATAGCCTGTAATCTAATTTTTAAAGAAGGCCCCCAAACTGTATTCTTTAGCACTCACAGAACTTGAACTACCTATGCAGGTAGGTAATTTGATACCTGTCAGCTTAGTGAAAGATTTAAGAATGCGTCCCCATTTTATATTTCAATTCTGTCTCTATTCAATCCAAAGAGTTACAGAGGTTAAGTCCTGTTTCAATAAACAGAACACAAATTGCATCACAAATGCTGGGATATAAAAACTGTTTGAAATCCATTCACTGGTTGGTCTACCAAGCACTAACTAATAATAAGATTTTATTTAATAAATCAAATGAGTTCGGTTATCCCCCGGAGTGTGGCCAGAGGTATAAGAAGACAAGTTTAAGAAGCCACAGGGCTGCAGGGAGCGAAGGGAGAGAAACATCACAGAAATACTAACTCTCATGGCCACGTATTCAGCAGGCTCTAACTGAGGCACACAGTGAGTCAGAAATCCTGGACATGGCTTAGCATGCAACTTGCTTATCAATGAAAGAGTTAAGAAGCCTAGTGGATGCTGTGAGCCCCATTGTATTCTATTAATGGAACTGAATTCTCATTGTGATCATGTGGCTGTGAATGAAACAGCTCTGTTTGCAGGGAATATTGGGATGCTGACTTTCTGCCTGTCGAATCTCTTCTTTTTCTGTCCAACCTGCCGTCGGATTTCTCCCAGACTGAAAAATGCAAACCAAACTGAAAGCCAAACTGATGGATATCTATGTTCATATCATGCAAATTATCCTGGGAAAGACCCACTTGGGCATAATCCCAAAGTTAGCACACACAAAAAAATTCCATTAATTAAACCAGCCCTTAATGGAGTGGCAGATAAGGGATCTCAAATGCAAACATTTAAAAAATAACAAAGCAAATGGGGAAAAATCAACAACTCTCCTTGGGAATGTTTAGGCAGGAAGCATTCCTCCAGCCCTCCTCAGCTCCTGGGGCATACATTATGCAAACTGTTTCACCGGGCACCAATCTCCTTTTTTCTTTAGGAACCCTTTGTACCCCATGGCTGGCTACTGGGAGCACGCCCTCCACCGCCTGCCTGCCGGCTGCCAGAGCCACTCACATAATGTGGCCTTTGTTTACGTATCCATAAATATTTGACAATTCAGAAGCGGTGCAGTTCCCAGCACAAACAGAAAGGAATATTCCTAGGCAATTTCAGGGTCACCAGCACACTACAAGGGCTCCCCGACACAGGGACAGACGCACAAAGAAAGAGGATCGGGGGTCATTCAGGGTAGGAACTAAGTCAAGTTGGTCAGTGGGCCTCTGGGAGAGAACTGCCGAGCTGGCAAGAAGGTATAGAAAAGACTGAAGGGCTTTGTTGCTTGAGGAAAACCCCCGTTACCTGATCATTATGGCTCGGCACCCGCTTGCACATGCTTTAGGAGGGAGTTAGATCCCTCAGCTAGACTCAAAGGGAGACCTGTGGTATTACTGGCTTACACTCTTCCTGCTGGAGAATTCCTAGGGAAAAATTTCTGACTGTTCACAGTGCCATTCTGTGAATGGTGAAGCTGGCAACTGCAGGTCTGTAGCTGCGGACAGGGGAGAAACCCACCTGCCGGCAGAAAGCCAGAAAGAGGGTTTGGTAGGGGTCCATGATGGCCCCCATGCCTGCAGAAATCCCAACAGCCGTGCATCCGTACAGCCCATTTAGGAGTCCTCATACCCGAGGAATGTTCCGCTCTTTGAGTACTTCTCCCTCTGAACTCCCCATTCAACCCTGACCTCATGCAAAATGGAGTCACTGTATTTTCAGTGGACACTGGTGACTTAAATAATCAACTGTCACACCAAGGATAAACCATGCGGGAAAGAGCTACCTGTAATCCTGATATCATTTTCTTTGCTTCCTCCATTTCTTTTTCTAAATGTTCTTGTTGTTCCAGCAGCTGTTCTTCCCATGAGGTCTCCAGACAGGTCCCGGGGCTGCCTGGTCGCCACTCTCGGGAAAACGGAGAGTCTGTCTCCTCTACAAAATGAGAGGGGGGCGTATAGTTCATGTTGGAGCAAACAGTTGCCGGCAGAAAGCGTTCACAGTCTCTCTGCGCTCACAGGTCTGGGTCACTGGCCTTCTGAACCTGTCCTCACTGCACAGACTGGACTCTCCGCTAGGTGGGGTTGTGAGACATGAAGAACCCACTGTTCCCTCACACTCCAGGCTGGGTTGGCTGGAGGCATCACTTACTCTGCTGGGGAAACTGGTCCCCTTCAGAACCTTTAAGAAGTAACAAGACACCCTCCTTGGGAGTCTTGGTATGGGACACATAGACCCTACTCTTAATTCTCTACAACTGACATCCCAAAGCTGGATTCTGCCAGGTACAAAGACAGGAGCTTTGGAAAACCAAATCCCTGTTGGCTGTTGTGGAGCTTCAGGGGGGAGACTTCAATTTAATATTCCTTGGACCGTTCCCTCGTACCTGAGCCCCTTTCACAAACAACACTGTGTGAGTCACACAGGAAACAAACCAGTGAAAACACACTTGCATAAATTGTTCAATCTTGCTCCCTGGTTTTGTTTTATTTTCCTATGTTTATGGTCTCTTTTCGCTGGTTTCTGTTTCATCCCATCTAATTGTGTGCACACCATTAAAAATGCATTATGGAATACCGAAGGGTATAAACTCTGAGTAAATGTCTTCATTTGTCGGTGTGAATGTAATTAGCTAATTCCTCTGGGTTGCTGTGAAGACTGAATGAGGTAACTTGTGTGCAGGACTCCGTGGTGCCTGACCCAGAGCAGTCACTCGGTAAATGCTCTCCCTCCCCAAGGTCCCAGGAGTTTCCGAGTCAAAAACATGGCTGACTCTTTGGTGCTAATGCCAGGGATAGTGGGAGGGATTTAACTCGTTTTCTTCGGAGGGCTTCAGTTTTATTACAACCCTTAGAGATGAATAAAACTCTATTGAAATCACATGCTTTGCTGCCTCCTTCCTTCCCTCTATGTTTATGTAAGAAAAAGGAGAGCAACTGAGATGTAAGGAGAAGTCTAAACAAAGGGATCCCTTTGTGGTCCTTTCTGTAGTCCAAAAGCCGGATGTAGACCTGCTTTTTAGCCTCCCACAGATACCGCCGCCCATATTATATGCTCCTGGTTCAAACTTAAGTCAAAGGGTTACTGGAATTATTTCCATAACACAGGAATAATAAAAACTGTTTACTTGAATGAGGCTTCAGACTGCCCCACAGTCGTTTCCTAATTCACAGGCAGCCAGCAGAGGAAAGGCCTATCTCCTCTGCTGTAAGATTTTGGACAGCTGTGACATCAGAAGTGACATTCTGCAAGAGGATGACCACATTCACTGGCTCAAAGACATCAGAGCCCTTTAGAGCTAACCTAGCATGCATGGACTTTGGGGAGGGAGAAGGCCAGGAAGTTTATAGGTAGATAGGATCCCCCAAGCCTTCAAGGCAAGGGCTATGGCTTGAGCCAACCCAGGCACGCTGACAGACAGTACCTGTTCTGTTCTCTATCCCTTCAGAGGGAATAATCACAAAATCTGCCTTCTCCTCCGACTGGGTTATAATGGACTCGCTCTTTGCGCTGTGGATAGGACTGGGTGAAGTCAGGCTGTGATTGAAGGAAAAGGAAGAGAAATGATTACTGTGAACAGCGGTTTGGAAGCCAACTTTCATAATTTATCCCAGAGACATGTTCTTACTCATCTTCCTCCTAGTGCCTAACACAGTCCCCAGCCCACAGTATGAATGGACATTTGTTGAATGAGTGCAGGATGAACTTACTGAAGGAATGAAATGAATGTTGAATGAATGAATGAATGACCCAGTCCTAGGAAGTCTTTGCCACAGCAAGGCTGCCTCAAAGCCCAATTCATAAAGAAGAGATTTACTGGAAGGACGGCTAACGTAGCATCTTAAAGAACCCCCAAATTTTGTTTTGTTTTTTGTTTTTTGTTACTTACCATCACCTCCGTCCCTGGGCCCAGGTTCAAAGACTGAAGTTAACGTGTGCCTTAGTAGTTTTGGGAGCTGGAAGGAAAAGTCTACTTCCAATCCATTGGTGTCCCACAGACACAAGCATCACCAGCAGAGTAACATGGTAGATCAGCCCTAGGCTGATCCCGAAGGAGGGGGCAATGCTGAGGGTGATTCAGGGGGAGAAAAGGCCAGAGTGTGGACAGTGCGGGGCTGGGCAAAGGGGCAGTGATACATCAACAAGGATGGGACATGATAAGGAAAACGGGAAAAGACTTGCTCGGCAAAGGGAAGGGTTGACTTGATTGTACCATCAAAGAGTTACTTAGATCCCTGCTACACCATTTGTGAACTGTCATCAGAATCCTCTCAGCAACTCCTAAATTATGATCCAACTATCAGCCTTGGGAGGGACTGCTGGGATTGTCAGGGAAGATGAATTTTAAAGCCACACAGAATAACAGCAAATCTACAAGACAAGATAGGAATGGGAGGCTGATGTTTCCATCCGATAGGGGAAAGGAATCTGAAGAGCCTCTTCTCTTTGCACCGCACCTTGAGAACATCAACTCTGAAACAATCTCAGGGGCTGTGGGGTCTCCAGGCCCAGCCCCCTCTCAGGAATTCTTTCCAAATCCATCACCCAGACAACAGTGAAAGTGTCTAGGACTCGCTGACCCACTTAATGTGCCCCTGAAGTCTCCCAGGCTAATCCTCACAGCCATGATCAGGAGTTAACATTTTGTCTTCCTAGAAACCAGTAAAAGCAAGAGCTGAGCACAAGTGGATGTAGTCAGAGATTTCAAAACCTCGAAAGCAGCCTGAGGACTGGTGTCTCGTCCTCCTCGTTGGTCCCGAGTTTGAGGGCTTTGGTGGGAATGACCTCAGCCAGAAATACATTCTCATCCTTATTAGAACCGCAGAAAAAGTGTAAAGTTTTTCCTTCTTCAAATTAAAGGACGTCGCTGAACCCTAACTACAGATCCATAGTCCAAGCAGACAAGAGAAGTAGAGAGTGGCAAGAAGTGGTATTTAGTAAAGGTAATTGCTTTTATAGAACTCTCTTATCCATCTTCCACCATTTAGGTAATCTGACTTCCAGGCCAACATGAATTAGCTGCTGGAAAAGCATTAGTGTACTTTGCTTTTATATAATACTTTTGAGAGTACTATGTCATTTAACAGGAGAACAGATTTTTGACCAGTCAGGCCGCGGCATTCGCCTCCCTGCAGAAATGGGGATCGATGTTCAGAAAGACGCCTGCATCAGCTGACCTCCTTTGAGAAACGATAAAAACACTTCCTTAGCTGACAAGGTGTTATGGTTGACGCGATCCGCTGTCTGCATTTGGCTGGACCACAGTGGGTATGTGTGAGACGCGGCGGGGGGTGGGGGGGGGGAGCGGGGGGAGAGTGGGAAGAGGGGTGTGAAGCAAGGATGCTGGAAAACTGCTGGCCTCAAAGCAGAGACGCATGCTCAGCTCCACCTTCTCCCTCTTAAGTGAGCGGTCCCCCTTATAAGGGCAGGAGGAGGAGGATGTCTGCATACCCAGCCCCACTGGGGGAGTGGCAGTGCGGCCAAAAGAAAAACAACATTTCTCTTTCTTGAATTTGAGGCTGCCAGTGTGTGAGGCCACAGAGAGGGGAGACCAGGAAACTAGGTGGTCAGGTCAAAAAAATAAAGGACCGGAGAAGCAAAATCCTGGGGCACATGTGGGAGCAGCAAGATTGCTGCTAGAGATGGGCCATATCGAGATGAGGCTTCCAATCTTCTGCTTCAGGTCACAGGAAGAGTATTGTAATGCTAGGCTCTTCCCGATTAGCTCAAAACCCCTATTTTGTAAACAAGCAATCCCCTACCTGCCATCATAATCCCCGCAAATCAGGGAACTGATTACAAATCAGGTGTGACTGATAACATTTCTTAATTCCCACAGGCCTAACATCTCTCCAATCTTAACATCAGACAAACAACCCCCCAGCGAGGTCCAAATTAGAGTAAAATCAATTTTTTGAAAACGGGTAATGGGAAAGAGTCCTGCTTACTCCTCAAGTGCCCTCCCACGGCCAAGACAGGATAAGGTAAAGGGCCACTCCTCTGGCCCCTATGCCGGCTCCAGTTTCCTACACCCACTCACTGTATTTTGTAGTGACAATCCCAGACCAGCAGCCCGTCCTTCCCAGTACAGCGCCCCCACCCATCCCGGTCGGTCTCAGGCCGACAGCATCCTCCAGTCCTGGCCCTGCGCCCGCCCGCTCCCCCCCAGCTCCAAAGCCAAAGTGGCCTCTGCTCACCATTTGACTTGCGTCCCTCCCATGGTCCCCCTCTGGCTCCGGCTTCAGCGAGCCTGCTTCCCCGGGTGAAGCGCGAGGCTGGGAGTCCCGGCGCTCCCGAATTCGGGCATGTCTCCCCGCGCTGGGGCCCGAGGAACCACTCCACCGGCAGGCTGGCTACCAGAGCTGCCGGCCGCGACGGCGGGAGAGAGTCGGCAGCGCAGGGAGGCGGGCGTCCCGGCCCCGGGGACGGGGATGCTGCCGGGTCTCAGGCGCGCTGTCCCGGCCGCTCAAACGCTGCAGCAGCCCGGCCTGGGCGGAAGCCACCTCCCCTCGCAGGCTGCGGGTCCCTGCCAGCGGCATCGCGGCGGCCGCGCGACTCCGGGCGTGCCCCCGGGCGCGGGCATCTCACCCCATAGCCCGCGCGGGGCAGCGCCGCCCG